GATGAGGCAGCTGTCGCCTGTGTTTGATGACTTCAGGTCTTCCCCAGCCCCGAGGGGCACCGAATTGGTGGCGCGGCCATGCAGACGCTTTTCCTGAGCGGGGTTCTGGGCCGTCCACCTCGGCGCTCCCTCTGCCGGCGGAGGAGGGACCAGGAGTCCTCCGAGCGCTCCCCGGCTCTCAGGCCTCCTTGCCCACCAGGGAGACCCTGGCGCCCAACGCCCCTTCCCTCCGCGATCGCACAGCCGTGCGATGCTGCTCTCCTGGCGGGAGAGGAAAGCGTCTGAACGTCACCCCCTCGGCACGTGCCCTGGCCTTGGCCAGGAAGAGAAAGCACCCCGGGTTACCTCCCGACACCCTGCCCTCAACACGGCCCGAAGCAGAAAAGGCTGTTTTCTCTCCCCTCTCCCCACCCTCCCGTCGGCCAGGCTGGAGGGACAAGGGGCCGGCTCCCTCTAGGGGAGGCCACAGTCCTGGCCTCAGCGGTGGTGTCACCTCCCTACCCCCCCCAACACACACACACACACACACACCCCGGCCTCAGCGGTGGTGTCACCTCCCCACCCCCCCAACACACACACACACACCCCTCCATTGCAGCCGCATTCCCCTGCAGCCTTTAAAGCCACTTCCTTCTGCAACAGGTTCACGCCTGGGGCTGAAATGGCTGCAGGGAGTAGGGCTGCAGTTCGAGCCTATGATCCGCCTTTACAATGTTTTTAGAGGACTTGCCTCTCCTCTAGCAGTAAGCATGGTGCCATAGTTATTTTTCCAAATCCTACTCATTCCTCAAAAGTTTCCTTTTACTAACCAATGTCACGCCAATAGATTTAATTCAAAAAAAAAAACTTCCTTTATGAAGACTGAGTGGAGTGTCCGTCATGAAGACCCCCGTGGATACAATGACTGGACAGCTCGCGGAGATGATATGAGCCTGCCTCATTCCCAACACCCACAGCATTTCCTACCTCTACCTGTGCTCCTCCAAACTGTTTTTGATTGCACTCTATTACCAAATAGGAAAAAATAAAATAAAAAAGCCTATATACTCATGTAAGTCACATGCACGTCCTGTTGGGTATGATTTTTTAATTTAAAAAGGATAAGCTAAAGATGAAACAAACATTTAAAGTAACTGTAAGAGTTATTTTTAGATGAATGGTAGAAAAACCCTTGTTACTCTCAGTAAAAATATCTAGTGAAAGCAATATGATTGACTACGGTTCAATGTTTGTAAAAATCTTTAATATCTTGTGAAAGTTATTAAAATGTCTGATTCAATCTTCAGGTTATTTCTGTTCTTCATTTTAATGGCCATCATAAGCTGAAAAAGATAACTCACAAAGATAAGTAGATCCTAATGGAAGAAGTACATCGTTATCCTTA